CTATTGACACCCCTGCACACAAAATATAACAGTGTCAGACACTTTGAACACATGTTAAAATACTTTGTTTTGATATTGGACAGTTTGAACTTGTCGCATACTTTTCCGAAGAACTACAAAATTTTGGCTTCCCCAGAGCAGTTTGAATTCTACTTTCTTTAACAAGAACATCGTTTAGTTATCTTTAGAATTCAGTAAGAATTTCAGTAAGTTTACGCTTTTCAATTTTTCCAATTATACGAGTAGTTTTAAATAGGTTTTCAGTTTTTAGCTGTTTAAAGCTCAGATTTAACTTTCTTATTTATAAAAATCTCTAAGTACAGTTTTTCGTTTTCTTGATATTAAAAAAATTTGTTAGCATAACTGGAGTTCTCTAATTTTTAATTTGCCTAAATGACTATTAGTTTTGCCCTATATTTATGCTTGATTTTGAATTTCAGATTAGCATATATTGGTTTTAGACAATTTTTTTTTTTTTTTTAAATTTTTGGTGAATTTCAATGCATATAAAGTTTTACGGTTTTTAACAGTCATTTTGGCACTATATTGATTTTAGACCAATTTGTTTTTTGAGTTTTAGTTGAATTTTAATGTACATAATGTAAAGTTCTATGGTTTTTAACTGTCATTTCGGTACTATGTATATTTATGCTTTTTTTTCAAGTGTTTCAAAAATGTATAGGGAAAATTCTGGTACATTTGAGATTCGAGGTTTCATTTTTATATGAATTTTATTTCAAAATTGATAAAATATGTTTATGATTTTTGATCTCAAATGGACGAGGAGAACAAAACATATTAAATGACTTTTAGGAAGCTTTAATTCATTTTCCCCTGAAGAGTTCAGAATTTGAGTTTCAATAAAAGGTGATTAATTTTTTATTCATATAATTTTGTATATTTTCCCTTTTGCATTTTTATTTTTCAAAATTGTTCTACTATGAATTCCCTCTTTAATCCTATTAGTTCAGATATTATGTTATAACTCTTATACATGGTTGCAATTATTATAATACAGAGGAATTGCCTTGCTTTTATTCCAATTTCCTAATTAATTTAGATGCTTTAAATTTATTCTACTTCAATCCTGCAGCTAGAATAGCACATAATGGGTTTAAAAAAAATTTTTATTCGAATTTTTTGCCTATTTATATATATATGTACCGTAATTTCCGGAAGAAAGCGTAAACGATTTTGGAATGATTAGAGAATCAAAGGATATGCCTTTATCCATTTTTTGCACCAATTCCACTTTTTGTTTGATAGACATCAAGACATGCTTTCGCTTTGTAGATCCTTTGGTAGCTCCGGAGTCGGAAATTCTTTTCGACATAATTGAAAGTTCTTACTTTTAAAAAATTGCTCTAACAGTCTGCAAAAAATAATAAGCCGGATCCAATTAGAATATTAAGGAACAACGCAATCTGCAACATTAACTGAAATAGATAATTAGAGCTTAGCTTATGTCATCCGTTATACGTTAAATGAGCATGCGTAAACGTATTATGCGCATGCGTTAACGCATAATATGTTGATGCATGCGCAGAAAGTTTGTAGCTTTGAGGTCCGGATTAAAGACTTTTGACTGTATAAGAATAAAGTTTTTGGTTCAGGAAATCTCGCCTGCCAAAATTGATTCGGTGATGAACTGCCATTTGATCTCAGTTGTAAATGGAAAGCCTGGTACAAAGAAACTGAAGAACTGAGCCACCTCAGGATTACTTGTTACTATGAGGGCAAGGTGAAAAGTTCTCGGCCTGACAATGAGACTTTGAGTTTCTGTTAAAAAAAAATGATTTTATTTTCTACATAATCTCCCTCCACTTCCAATACACTTCATCCAGCATTTCCCCAACATTAGTATTCTTTCGCGTCTGTCTGGAAGTGAGAGTCTGGAAGGTTGTGAAAATATTCATCTACGACCCTCTCAACTTCTGCTTATGGATGCATGGTATAACTGAGAATAGGTTTTAACAATGGAACTTTTCAAACAGTTTTTTTTTTTTTTTTTGCTTCCAAGAGTAGAGTCACACCTCTGAAATCACTTACACTTTCTAGATTTGAGCTCTTAGGTGCACTTTTGTCCACCAGGTTGAGTTATAAAACCACAAATGTTTAAAATACAAAGTAATCCCCTTTCACTCATAAATAACTTTTTTTTTTTTTTTGGATTTGTGGATCTCCCGAAAGATTTTAACCTTTCATCAAAAACAGAATTTATGAAATTCAAAAACTAACTGAAAGCAGTGATTGGCATTGTTGCTATAGGAAAGACAACCCAGCCTACCTCACATCACGAGGAACTATTGTTGATAACTTAAGAAGCTGCCAACTTTGGTGGCATGGACCACCCTGGCTTTTACAGTGTTGGCCCTTTGGTAATTTAGACATTATTGAAGAAAAAATTTTGGAATATAAGAAAGAAGTTTGCTCATGCTCAACAGAATAAATGTATTGTACAAGAGAAGGATGAATTATCTGATATATATACAGTAATCTTATTTTCATAAGATATTAAAAATAACAGCTTGGATTAAATGCTTCACTTTGAAAATTAGGAAACTTACAAACTTGCCAGATATTCCCACATCAAAAGAGCTTAAAGACGCAGAAGAGCTCTGGATCTGTAGAATTCAAAGAGTGGTTTAAAATTTGGAAATTTCTGCATTAGAAACTGATAAAAACATATCTAAGAAGTCATCCATATTTTCTTTTTCCCCGTTTTTAGACAATAAAGGAATCTTGCAGCTACGAGGAAGATTACAATTTTCTGATTTCAGCAATGAAGAAAAGCATCCTATCCTTTTGACTCGAAATTAAAAATTTACAGAACTCATTATTGAAAGAAAATATAATAAGTTGATGCATGGTGGAGTTTCAGCAACTTCAACCAACCTTCAAAAAGAATACTGGACATCAAAAGGCTGACAGCTTGTGAAGAAAATCCTTAGAAGCTGTCTTATTTGTAAAAAGTATACAGTAATACCTGTTCAACAGGTGACTGCACAGCTGCCAAAAGGCCGAATAGTTGAAACTCCACCATCTTGTTTTCTGAAATCGACTTTGCTGGTCTGATTTGGGTTAGATCAGAAACCAGAACCAACAAATCGTACATAGTTATTTTTACCTGTGCCGTTACCAAAGCCTTCATTTAGAGCTGGTCTCCAGTTTGTCAACAGAAAATTTTTTGATGGCTTTTAGATGACCCGTGTCAAGACAAGGACGTTATTGTACAACTTATTCAGATTATGACAAAAACCTTTCAAAAGGTAAATCAACAATGCAAGCATTTTTAAAAAATACTGAAGGATTCCAAATTTCAAGATTTTATTACCTGCAAGAAGATAAGCTGGAAATTTATCCCAGAACACCTGCACGGTGAGAAGGTTTTTACGAATGTTTAGAAAACTTTTAGAACATCTCTGGAAAAGGTGGAAGGAACAATATCTACTTGACTTGTGAACAGCCCACCATTTGGATATTCCCAAATCGATAAAAAATTAAAAGTTGGAGATTTTGTTTTTTTTTGGAAGGGTCTACAAAATCCAAACTCTTATGGGAGCTTAGTGTGGTAGCAGAATTATATAGAGGACAAGATCAACATGCTCATTCTTGTTTAATTAAAACGTCCAAAGGACAAATGAAGAGACCCATACAACTCTCGTAAGCCTTAGAAGTTGTGAACCAACTTAAGAACTATTGACTTTTCCAGCAGTTAATGAGAATAATTTGAACTTATTGATTATTCAGTAATTCCTTTGTTCAACTGATTAATTTTTCTTATTTCATATTTTATTAGACATTCAAAGAGATTCTTCCCTCTTTTTTTTTTAAAAAAATTGTAACAGTAAGTAATTGTAAGTATTTTAATTTTATTTAGACTTAATTGTTATTATCCTTAATTGTGTGAACTCTATGAGTTCAGGTGGGGAGTATAGAGAAATGTGTTGTCATACTACGATAGAAACACCCCCACATCAGAATTATACAGAGTTAAGGAGCAGTTAGATGTTAGATTAAAATGCCATATTAAGCCATGATCTCTGATTTGCAGCTTCATAGATGATTAACTGTATACAGTGTATAAATAAATACTTCATCTAGCTTTGAGTTGATTACAGATATAGTGATATTGCTTACAGTAAAATTTGAAGACCAAATTACAATTTGACATTTCACAGATTCGATTTACATCTCCTTTTGTTTCAATTATAAAGCAAGTTAAGACTGGATACTGTTTAATCACACAAATGTTTAACAGAATATTTATTGTTTGAGCTGAGGCTTTCATATAATAATTTCATTATATTTTAAAAACCTGTTAATTTTTTGTGAAGACTAATTATTTATAAACATTTACACAATAAATAAAAAGATTGGTTAGGTTAGGTTATTTAATTACGGCAAAGCCTCAAGGGCTATCTGCCTAAGGGAAGGGATACCTTCGTGGAGGACTTTCTAAGGGAAACTGGCTCATATACATGCTAAACATGGGGAAAACCACGAAAACGCTCATGCAGCCAGCCCGTTCGTGGGATTCGAACCTCAGACTGAACTACCAGTGTTCAGCGACTTTACCGCTCGGCCGCTGGTGGGCTAATAAAAAGAAGTTTCTAATATTAAATAATATGCATATTTACTGCAGAATTTTACTCAGCTTGTATGCTGTCATCCATATAAAAAAGCTATACTCATTTCTTTTCTTTTACCCTACATATATTTTAATGCCAAAGAAAATGAGAGGAAAAGACTAAGAGCGCTTTCAACCTCTCTGGCAATGAACAAATTTTCAATATTTTTCAACTTTTTACTATACTTCAGGAGCAATAACAAAATTACAGTAACAAATAATAGCAATAACAAAATTACAATATGTTAAAACTGGTATCTCAGAATTTCAGATACTATAGAACAAACTGTTTACATTTATGGAATAAGTATTACAATACAAAATTTCAATACATAAAACCCATACAAAAAGAGAATTTATAAATTATTACCCCTATGGTGGCAGCCATCTTGTCTGTGATAATTTCAGATATATCTCTACCTAAGACACCATAGTACAGACCATAGAAAAGACACATAAGGCCGCAATCCATCCATGGTTGGGGTAAGCTTCGGAACATAAGGTTGACTCCAAGAAGTGTTAGGAGTACAATAATATAACCTACAACACCAAGTCCGTAACTTATCATATAGATGAGGTAAAACCATTTATAAACCAACCTATAAATAAATGTTTCAATATTATGCTGGAATTTTATAGCATAATTTTACAATAAAGGAAAAAAATTGAGTAATAATACTTTTTTAGAATGAGCATTAAAAACTGATTACAAAAGATAACATATTATGGCAAAAAAGCGTACACTATCTTACACATACATAAAGTCATGTTTAATTTCCAGAACATAAAAAACAATACGCAGAAAACACAGTTATTAGTAGAATATAAAATGCTTCAGACAAATATCAAAATCTAAGCTAAGCAAACATTAAAAAATATCAGTCATGATGTCTTTAAGTACAAATTTTAAAATCTGTCCAGATAATTAAAATGGTATATATATATATATATATTAAGAAGTCAAGGCCCAAAGTCAGAGAGTCATTTTGAAATAAAATCAAGAAAATACCACTTACTCTTTGTCTTAGAAAATTTAGCTCTTTAGGGCCAACCCTTAGCCACTTGGAGCATTAAATTACAATATCAATATCTAGTTTAGCAATTATTTCTTATAAATTTATAATCTTCACACATTAATTCATTCCCAATGATAATTTGTACAGTGTAAGTTCATAACATAAAATATAAATATTAATTCAACTTAACTTCTGAAATTGCTTTGACTATGACAACAGTATGCTATCAGATTTTGTTTTGCTTTAAACAGAACATTTTGGATAATTTTTATCTATTTTTGAATTATATTAAATTTTTCTTTTAAAAAATTAATTCAAAATTCTGAAGTTTTATAGAGTAGGAATTTGTACAATGAAATGTAAATGTAATTTTTTTTACAGCATTTAGTTATAATGGTTGTTTTTCTAAATTTTAGGTTCCTTTCTTCGGTCTCTTGCGAGGGCATTTGTCACTCAAGATGTTTGTTGTTCCGATAATTTGTTAATAAAGTGATGTGTTCATGAAGGGAGATGTCAGTGATCCATGTGTACTGTATCACATACTTGATTTGCTGCTTTTCTCGGAATTAATTACTTTTATAGCCATCCCTCTTGCAACAACGCTTTTCAATTTTTTTTCCAACTGCAATGGATTTCACAACTTGGAATTTGACAACAGATGAACATGCAGCTACTCTGTTTCTTCAAGAACTTCAGAAAGTTTAGTTTGAATAATCACTTCATAAAACTGAAATGCGATCTGAAGCCAAAAGGGCTGTGCAAAATTCTTTCATGCTGGGAAGGCAAAATGTTTCCAAACACAAACATGGTTTAATAGATCATGCATTCCTTTCATTAATTTATATGAGTGCTGCAAACCAAAGCTTGCTTCAAACAAATCACAACACAGTGGCTGATTAAAATATGAGAGAAGTATGCCCCAATTCACTGCCATCTTAACAGGACACCAGCATTATACCTTTGGTCAAGCATATATAATCTCACCAGACTAACTGTGCTCCAATTTTAATATAAAACAGCCTCAGAGACACAGCCAAGGGCCTCCCACCCCTCTTCTATCATTAAAGTACTTTCTAGCCACATTAAGTATTTTAAGTACCCCCAGGTCATATATACAGACTACACACTTAAAAACATTCATGTTTTCTCCAAAATTTGAACCCGGTCCTAGTGATATGGCAGCCAGCATAATTCACCGCTATATCAATCAGGGCAGCCATCTCATCTTAACATTAAAATCAATGCATGTAAAAATTTTGTGGAAATTAATGAATGTTTATTCACAATAATAATAACATAGTCATATGCTTCCCCATAATGGACTTCTGCAGTTTCCATTAAATGAGAGAATATTTCCATGTTGCTGTTGTTGATCAATCCATTTCATTTATACCTATCCAAAAGTATGGGGGAAGAAATAAAACAAAATGCTCCTAAATGTGCGCTTTCATCCACTTTTCATCCACCATCCATACTGTGGGCTGTTACCACGGCAGGATTATTTTTTTTGGCCTTTCAACATGTGTGCTTTCGTCTAATGTGCTTTTATTAGGGAAACCTTAATAATAATAATAATTATCATAATAAAACTCTCACACACATAAGATTGGCACTAAGCTTCAAAAATGGCACAATACTGTTTTGTTCATGACTGAATGTGCAAAAGGTGACTCCCCCACATGGCCATAATGTCACAGCAGACAAACAAATAACCAAGGGTGCTAGGATAACAGAGACAAGTTAGCAATAGTTAACTTTAAGAAACTGCCTTGGCAACAGGTCAGAAGGTTGAAGATGTATGTCAACACATTATTAGGATGCAAACTAAGACTTTATTGGATACACATTTTAAAACTTCACATCTATAAAACAATGTTAATTAAACTGAAAATAAACAGAAGCATAGAGAATGCAACAGAATATATGTCAGAAAAGCAAATGTTTTACAGTAAAAAGGTGAACACAGCAAAGAAGAAACATGAATAGGAACATATTCTGACATTTGAGAAACATTTTTCAGGTTCATGAATATAACACAATATAAATTCATTACATTTAAAATATTAGAAAAATTATCCTTGACTATAAAATTATAAAAACTGCAAAAATTGCCAAAATGAAAGAGGCCAAGAGTTTTACCCATCTGCATATATATATAATGCAGCAGATATTCCTTAAAATTTAATTACTTATTCTGTGGAATTTCATCTGACTTTTTATCTTTTGCATGAAGACACAGTATATGGTTTAAACATTAAAGAAGGGAGAATTTATTAACTATTAAAGATCATATACAGGCAGGCGGTCTACAGAGTCGATGCTACAATAGCTTTGAAATTTGGTTGCAGATGAATTAAAGAATTATTTCAACTATCTACTATTTTTTTCATTATTTGTAAAACAGAGAACATCATTGACCAAATAGGCAGATATCTTTGCTCTTGATGAAGAGGCAAGTTTATCAGTTGCCCTCGAAATCAATACAGTCTTGACAAAATCTGCACCAGGAGTTCTCAATCGTTTGATTTAACGCATACCATCTAAACAAAAATTCAAAAACTTTAGTCCCACCACTACATTTTACAATGATTTTTCAAGTTCTGAATAGAAATATTAAAAAAATATATATTTTGTCATTTGCATAACCTATTCGCTACTTACAATTGTATTAAATATGCACACATAGAAAATATTAGATTAAAAATTGGTTACCATTTTATTTATCAAAATTCAAGTCTTAGTACTTTAATTCTAAAATTTAGTAAGAAATTTGGGCCTGTAAACAATCCTGTACATAAACTGCTCTTAATATAAACTATGTTGGACTAAGTGCAGCAACAAGGGTACCCTCTGGCTCTGTAATATTCTTAAAATTAGATGGGATGTCAGTGTGTAACATAAACCTGTTAATAAATTATTGTTACGCTATAAAGGATTCTTTTATGACCCCATTCAAAATGATCCCCCTTACAGGTCTGTTTAAGAGAGATCATTTTCTTTATGTCTGGTCTTATTTCATTTAGTGTTAACCATGAATTAGGATCCACTTTTAATTTTGTTCTGTATTTATTTTTCATATATCTCATGGAAGAAAATCCTTGTTCACACAAATAGATTATGAAAAAAGGAAATAATAAAAAAAAATTTTAATAGCTTTATTTGAAATTCCTTTAAATTCTTTTTTTTTTTTTTTTTTTTTTGGTTCACCAAAACTTAACAAGTTCTTTTTCTTCATGAGATAAAATTTCAGGTGCATTTGAACAAATTGGATTTCTAATCCAATTTTCTTTTTCATAATCCTTAGTTAAAAGTAAAGGAGTAAAAGTTTGCCTCTGGATAACTACTTTACATCAGAATGTAACATCATGCTCACAGCCCATCTCTGGCATAAAATCGTAAATATTCTTAATTTTAAAGCTCGGCTTTTAATAAAATTAATATTTTTCACAGCTTGATTCAAAACAATTTTCAGATTTTCAGGGATTGTTTTGGCTACTAAAGCTTCACGATGAATGGAGCAGTCACTAAATACAGTTTCAGGTGTGATTTTCTTTACTTGAGAAATAACACCATATTGTTTTTCCTATTAAAGCTCGAGCTCCATCACTGCATACGGCAATGCACCAGAGCTTAAACTGTGCCGGAACCCAGCTCCAGTACTTCTTAGTTTTTAGGGATAAATCATAATTCTAGCCAGAGCACAGCAGAGCTCTAAATAAGAAAGCTCTGGCAATTCTTTTATGTAACTGAACAACAAATTTAGCAGGAATTTGATACCAAAAATTTTATTTTTAATAATAAAATTATATAAAAAATATTCTAACTTCTGAATGTATGCCTTTCTTTCCTTGGCAAACAAACCCTTAGAAGGAAGTCGAGCCTTTTAAGGAACAGAAAATCCTCCACTCGTAGGGCAAAGGTTTATTTACCAGAAAATACAATGAATTTTTGACAGGAGGTAAATTTTTCATTCCACTGATAATGTCTTCCGGTGGAAAAGAGCGCCTGCAGATTTTTTTGGAAAAGCTGTAACCAAGGACGGGGATTAAAATCGTCACTTGTTCCTTTTTTTCTCAGTTAACCCTTGGATTCAGAGAAAATTTGCTCCTTTATCATATTCTGTTTGATAGCTAGTATTGTACTGACAGGAGAGAGTGGTCATAAAATATTGGACTCTTCCCCTTTGCTTACATACCTATATATTATTCGTTAAAATTTTCTCTATATATTGTTTATAGCATTCTTGTTAGTCTCCTTAGCGGTACTTTAAACATTTTAACGTTTTTTATTGATGTGCTGGTAAAAGAATGGTTTTTATTTCTATCATTTTTTGAAATAGTACATTATATTCAGAGTTAAGTTCAATCGGGCACCGGTTGAGCTATTTCTTAGTTTTTGTTACTTTATTTTAACGATTTACCTTTTGTTTAATAACTTATTTTTATTTATCTCTTTGCTTTCTATTAAATTTTAATTATTTATTTTTTAATCCTGCTAGAAATCATGAACATCTAAGATTTAATTCATTTTGAATTTATTCTCAAAGGCTGCACTGCACTGTTAGTAAGAAACTCTATAAACAT